AGAGTCAGAGTGAGAGTGAGAGTGAGTGAGCGAGCGAGAAAAAACCTGGAAAAAAAACGTATGTGGCCATGGTTTGTCCGTCCGTCCCTCACTTCCTCCCTCCGCCCGTCCGTCCCTGTCCGTCTGTCCGCCTATGTCTACCTATCTTTCTGCCTGCGTGGCTGTGCTTGCCAGTCAGCCCAGCGAACTAGCCAACGGGAACACGACGCCTCGATGGCGCATTCGGGCGACCAGCTCCAGCAGAGACGGCTCGTTGGGCAGCAAGGACTAACTGGCAACCAATGCGGCAAATTGCACTGCCACCGAAAGGTTTTTGGCATGGCGTTGGAGCGTGGCCATGGGCATGGTGCGAAGCATCAAGCTCAGGAGGCAGCACGGCGGGCTAGGTAGAGGAAGCATGCGCTAGAGTAAAAAGGCCTGGCTGCATTTCCTTCTCTTACCATTGGTGTCGAGGGGGGTGGTGGAGGGAAGGGAGCGAGAAAGAAGCGGAGAGGAGAAAGAGAATCACGTGTTTTAGCGCATGCGCTGCAGGTGCTTGTGCTACATGCCGGTCGTGCGCACCGGCAATTGCTACATGTCGTTTTGCGTCTGCCAGGATTCGGTTTGCCCCTCGTTGCCATTCGCCTTAACACGAAGGTTGCCAGACAGGCTAAGCAAGACAAGGCCGTGAGCGCGTTTGATCCGAAATGCTACACCTGCTAGTGCATTCTCTATTGAATCTTCGCCACCCACCAGACCGAAGTGACGCTACCACCAAGGCGTCTGCCTGACCCTCGTGTAGCCTTTTGCATGGCACCTAGCTCCTTATCCTTTTCATTCTGCACCATGTACCGACCGCCCTAGGTCTCGGAGCGGCCTTCGCAAAAATAGCTGGCAATCTTAGCAAAGAGGACGACTTCTTGTAGCGAGAGGCCCGTTCGTAGCACAGCCCAGCCATTGTGGCCATGCTTGTCTGTCCTCAAAAACCCATGTTCAGGCGACAAGTAGCTGTTTCACCCCCCGGTTCGGACTGGATGTCTTCGTAATGCTCACCCTTCCACCAGTATCAAAATAGCCTGATATCGGACGAGTTTAACAGGACCAAGCACGTCAACTGTGTGTTAGCACTATTCTTTTCAGCCCTGCACGGACCACTGCTTCGCCCCTGTCGTTCCATACAGGGTTCAGTGGCAAGCGCGGCTTCGAGGTGCTTGAGCTAAGTGAGCCGAAGCATGGCCCCGAGCCATTTTCCTTGATACTTTGAAATTTCTACCCCCCAGACTGGGAGATGGGCTTGAGCTTCAATTGCACCTTCACGTCTTGTGATGCATCTACCCAAGAAGTTCAAGGCCACGGGCCATCCTGAGTCCCTTCCTGTTAAGTCAATCGAACTTTTCAGTGCTTTCTGCGATGCACCTGCGGTGTACAATGTGCATCGAACCAGTAGCTAGCACACACAGTCGTCCCTGACCCTTCGTACGAGCGTGTACACAAAAATACGCACATATGGATACCCGCAGATACATGTGCGTATTTACGCCGCTTATGTATGCATGCATCTAGTTTCTTTTGCATGTACCCCGTTCATGTGTTTGCTGTGTGTACATACACAGTCATATGCTAAATACACCAGATTGCAATCAGATTGTACATGCATACTTTGTACCTAAACACATCGCTTGCATAAATGAAGAAAGCAAAGTTGACAAATGTTGCACCCGTCCGCACACCCGTACATCGCCCAGACATCACTTGCGTCACAGGCACATCATCTATGTCCCATTTGTTCTCTTCGCATAGCTTCTCCTTCGGCCGATCGTACTCATGGTTGACTAACTTTCAGGCATCACAGGGCTCTGGAAGAGTTACATTGAGTTCCGGCTCCATGCAAAACCGAGAGTCCAGGATTGAGACCAACGGCCGGTAAGCCGGGACGTAGATGATACTGGCAGTTAGAAACCAGTCCCATCTTTCGATGGCACTTTTGCTGGCTTCTCCTGGGTATTGGAATACTATAAACTCTATCTCAGCACCCAAGAAACAACAGAAGTTTTGCTGAGACTCCCCACTTTCCAAAAAGGGTCTTGTACATCCAGCCAAGGTTGTTGCCTGTGAACGGGTCTTCCATGGTCTTCAACTTCTGGTGCTTGGGCAGTGCAGTCTTGTGGAGAATATACCTGTCGACCATGATCTATTTCGGCTTATCCACTACTCACTATGCTAATCCTGGCAATCGGTCCCGAAATCACGACAGGGCACCACTGGAATCTCCAGTTGCCGGCATACGGGCGGTAAGCAAGGAGGAACGGCACCAGTTTTGGGTACAACTGCCTTGGTTGGCTCAAAGGAACGGCTCAGTAAAATCTACGAATCACTTTTTTCAATCACGACTTCTTACCCCCGAGATCTTTGGCTCTCAAGGCTGGCTGACGACTTGACAGCTACCTCCAGGCATCTACAATACAGAGAAGAAACTTTTCGATACCCAAGCGACCCCTCTGCCTGCATGGCTGATGTTCTGTCCTGAGCACCCTCGGCTTCTAACACAGCGCAAAGCAACTTCTGCAATCTCGGCCAAGCCGCCCCACCACAGGGACGACAACAAGAACCAGTGTCAGGAAGACCTGTAAAAACAGAGAAGACGGCAGCGAGAACCTTGGCCCATCAGCTGGAAACTCTGGAGATGGCATATTGCTATGACAATTAGAGGGCTCACCAGCTCACCCAGTGATTCACAACCAGACTCGCGAGACTCCTATCGCCGGCCATTGGGGGGGGTGCCCGTCAGCCCTGCATCAGGCCTGCGTCAGCCGAGCAGCTGGTTCATCACGAAGAGGTAGTATGCCAAGATCATGCAGAAGAAGTTCCACTCAAAAACTGATGCGAAGGGCATGCAAAGCCCGATGAAGGTGTGATAGCAGATCATCCCGTAGCCACCGAAATATCGCAGAGGGGCAGAGCAGCTGCAGAAGGCAGGGAAGATTACTTCCAAGAATGCTCCAGTCCATGCCAAGACCGTCGTGAATCTGCTTGGGTTCACATCTCTTGGATAGTCAGCGAGGAGGATCTTGGCAAGGAATTCTCGGGGAAGGAGGTTGGCAACTGCCGAATCCTTCGTGATGAAGGGCAGCACGTACTGGAACCAAGGACCCATTTTGGAGATGCCCGCCCAGCACCAGAGTGCCAGCTGCACACACTGCATGCCACTGCGCCAATCCGGGAAGACCAGGCAAACCAGCATGTAGACGTAGTGCTCGCCCCGACTCGCGAGGTAGATGGTGAAATCGAAGATGGTGCAGAGCACAAGCACGAGGTAGATGGGCAGCAGCTCTGAGACCCCCAGCTCCTTTGCCAGCAGCGCTCTTAGGAGCAAAGCGATGTAAAGAGCGAAGCTGAGAACGGCCACAAAGGAGCGCTGCCCGGGCACCGAGGCACCGAGGTCGAAGCTCAGCTTCTGCGCCAGCTTGGGCAGTAGCGGCGAGCAGAGACTTCCCGGCATCAGGAAGTGGATCCCCGTACCACCCAGGTGCCACTTGAAACGGAAGCCCAGTAAGGAAGAGGTCGCTCCAAGGCCTAGAAGGCCATGAAGAATTTGATATATCAAAAACTTCTTCATGTTAAGCTCGGTCAGAAGCGAAACCGAGGTGTCCATGAAGAGACACTGGAAGCCGAACCACCAAATAAGGCCGATGGGAACATAGGTGCTAATCACAGCTGGCACTGGCAAAAAGGCATTGTCTCGCAGAACTTTTAAGCTTGTGATCCTCAAGCGCTCTCGGAGGCTCGTGCTCTTCCATGCAGAATCATTCAGTGGAACCTCCGCAAAGTTGATCAATCCAGCCTCTTGGCCAAGATCCGCACTTGCAAGCAACGCTTTCTCCATCTAAGTTCGGGCCAAGCCCGGGGGGGTTGGGATTCGGGCCAGAGCTCGGCGCAGCGCGTCCACGCTCAAGCAGTCAGGACACAAAGCGAGCAGTCGAGGGACGTGTGCCGAATGAGCGCAGCCACCACGCATCGAGAACCCTGTACATAAATCCCACTCCCTGCAAGGAAAAACTAATCGAAGCAGCAAAACCCAGAATGCTGAGGCCATGGGCTGGGCCTCCTGATGCTTTTGGAGCTCCTCATCTGAGCGTCCCTTCTCTCGGCACCACGCCACGGCGCCTAAGCCCAGGAACAAGAAGGGAGCTCGGAATGATGGCTTCTAACATAAATTCGAGGGGAGGCCGTTTGCTTGACCTGCGGAAGTGGTCAGAGAGAATCTTCCACTCGAGTGGAGTCGCGAGGTCCTTTACCTACTTGCTGCCAAACGGAGCCTCCAGAACACCGTCAGGCATTGCAAGGGTGCAGCTCAATAAGTCTGTGCAGCCGATGTCTCCCAAGCTATAGAATACGGATTCGTATCGTTGGAAAGATTTCGTTTCAAGCCCGTGGTGCTTTCCAGGAGCCCCCGCGCTCCGCGACCTCTGTGGCAGACTGGCCTGCCGATGTCCTCAGGCAAGAAAACGATTTTGGTTCGTGAAGCCTTGTCCAACTCTCACCCATGTGCCTGGTTTCGATGCATGCAGGATCTCGGGCCAGGAGAAACTGCGCCTCCGCCAAGGGCTCTCCCCAAACTCGCTGTCTCTCTCGTCCCACCTGCTGTGGCCAGCCGAAGGCCGCAGCTCGGTGCAGCGCCGTGACGCCTGTTTCGCTCTCCTGGCAGTGATGCACCCATGTTCGAGAGACGTTCAGACGTTCGTGAGCCCTGTGGGTCCGGCGGTCCTGCCTGGAAGGCTAAGGCATCGCCGCCGAAGCCGTCATACTTGGCCCAGAACTCCTGCCAGCTCCGAACACGAATCCCACAACTGGGCCTTTCGACGCAGAGATTTCCGGCTCCCACCTCGGAGTGGTTCTTCGGCCGGCCCCGCAAAGCGAACCATTTCGCACCCGAAGCAAAGGTGCCATCGGGAAGCTTCGGCATTGAGGCTTTAGGGCCTTTCGTTTTTTGGTGCCAATGGGGCTAAAGATGGCTCGGAGGTTGCGAGTCAGCTTTGCCGCTTCACAGGCACTGAATTGTTGAACACTCTCTGTGGAAGCAGCTGCTCCTCTAACAACACCAGCTGTTTCGTAGAACTGGTCGTTCTTCGAAGAGCCACGAATGTCGGAACACGAGCGGTGTTGCTGCATGTCGAGGATGATGCTGATGATGATGACGATAATGACTACTGCACACTGGCTACTAGTACCGCCACCATCACTACCACTACGGTTGCTGATGCTGCTCTGCAGCTGCAGCTACTGCTGCTGCTACTGCTACTGCTACTGCTACTGCTACTGCTACTGCTACTGCTACTGCTACTGCTACTAATACTACTACTACGACGACGACGACTGCTACTACGACGACTACGACGACGACTT